AATTTTGCACGTTTTGGTAAAACAAGTTTGAGTGAATAACGAATTGGTCAATCCGTTCACTCACATCCAAAACTCTGTTACTTTTTAGCCAATCAGCATGACACGTCATTAAAAATAGTATTAAAACAATTATTTAATCATCCCAATTAACTCACATAACTCAACCAATTCAGTAGCTCTCTACCAACCCGATCATACACTAATACCCCCCTCCCGACTTGGAGAGAGAAAGAGATATAAAGAAAAGTTGTGTCGTCGGGGGAGGGGGGGCTGGCACATTGAATTTCAATTCGTCTGCAATGGCTATCCCGCCCTTTTGTGACGTTCAGTGGAGAATACAAGTGGAACGCACCATTTCATTTGCTTCAATCTTATTTTTCGTCAATCCGCGCCGTTTGCTTCCAACGGTGTCGTTCTACTATGTTAAAGGACATGTTATCTTTTCGTACAAGTCATTAGTGGTTTCCTTTTCAAGTAAACAACAAACATGTCCTTGTTTGCAGCTGGATAGTGTTGTCTGCTAGTGCTAGAACATCCATATAAATTGTAATGTGATGAAAGTAATGAATCAAGACTTTTAGGGTTTCAATTCAGATCAGATGTGAGAGGGTGGATTGACAAGCCTGTAAGTAGACTAGGTTGGACAATTAAGATACTCCAAGGTGATAACAAGAAAGAAATGCATGAACAAATGTGACAAATGAGTAGTTGTTAGCTTTCACGTCGTTCTTTGTACTCGAATGAATTCCTGGAGAGTTAGGTAACAAATTGAGCATTAAGCACTTCTAGCTTATGCAATATTACTGGGTAATTTTCATAAATGGTTACAAATCTATTCATTTTGTACAAAACGGTCACAATCCTTTAATTTTGCATGTTTTGGTAAAACAAGTTTGAGTGAATATCGAATTGGTCAATCCGTCCACTCACATCCAAAAATCCGTTACTTTTTACCGAATCAGCATGACACGTCATTAAAAATATTATTTAAATAATTATTTAATCATCTCAATTAACCCACATAACCCAACCGGTTCAGTCGCTCTCTACCCACCCGGTCATATCCTAATACGCACCCCTCCCGACTTTGAGAGAGAAAGAGACATACAGAAAGATCGCACCGTCGCGGGCGAGGGGGCGGCCAAAGAGTGGGGCGCCCACATTATCCTCATCGTCCGCGACCAATCCCTCCAGAGATCCTCCAAAACGGGTGTCTCCGTCGCTGGCCAATACACAGAACTCCCGGTACCGGAAAAATTGCCGGTAATCAGGGGCGGACCCAGGGGGTTTAGGGGTGTCCCCGGACACCCCTAAATTTTGGGAAAACGATTATCCAACACCCGGTGGTAATTTACGTATGGACAAAAAAAATATAATCGATAGTGAGAGACACCCCTTAAATTTGAAAAATGATTATCCTACTGTCATTTGTGTATAGGAATATAAGTGGTAGGTTGGATCATTTAAATCTAGAACACTATTATTATTCATAAACTTAATTTCCGTTGAGCTAAACTCATTTGTTGTTCGATTTTGAACAATGTGTAATAGTAAAATGACATTCCCTATCTCTAATTATTTTAAAAACCTAACAATTAAACTAATTTCAAACTACCCTCAATTTGTATTGATTTTATGATTGTACGGCAAGTGTTGAAAGAGTCTTTCAGCTTTGGGTTACATCAAGAACAAGTTTACAAATCGAATATGCGATAAGTTCGTGAATGGTTGTCTAGTAGTGTATATAGAGACAATTTTTTTAAACACTATAGACACCAAGTGTATTCTACAATTATTTCCGAATATGAAAACACATCATGGACTTTTTTAACCTGTACGAGTAAGGTATTTTCATATTTACAATTTTATTTTTATTTAATTTATTTTTTAAAAGAGGACACCCTTATAAAAAATTTCTGGGTCCGCCACTGATTAGAGTTAGTCAACTACCATAATCATTAATCTAACGGAGATATAAGGGCCGATTCTTGTCGTACCGAGAGTTTTGTGTATTGGGTAGCGGTGGAGACACCCATCTCGGAAGGTCTTTGGAGGGACTGGTCGCCGGTGACGAGGAGAATGTGGTCCCTCCGCTCTCTCTGACCGCGCGACCTTACTGTTGTCTCCGACATTTTCCAAGTCGGGAAGGGTGGTTATTAAGGATTTAGTGTACAACTAGGTGGGTAAAGAGCTACTAAACCGGTTGGGTTGTGCGGGTTAATTGGGAAGATTAAACAATTTTTTTATTAATTTTAATGATGTGTCATACTGACTGGGCATAACGTAACAGAGTTTTGGACGGAAGTGGATGAATTGACCAAATCGCTATTCACTCAAAGTTCTTTTACCAAAACATGCAAAATTGAAGGATTGTGACTATTTTTTACAAAGTGAAAAGGTTTGTTACCATTTATTATAATTAGCCCAATATTACTGGAACTAACCTTTGGAGTTCTTCTTCATCTTCGTCATCAACAATATAGTCAAAATCGTGTTATAAAACTTAAAATTTTATGTTTTTACACTTTTAAGTCACCCAAAAACGTTTCTACATAGAATTGCGCTTTTCAGTTACACTTATAGTCAAAATCTGTGCTTTAAAGTTTAAAATTTTACATTTTTATACGGCGACTTTGACTGCGTTGGTCATCAAAGTCTGACAGGAATTTCTATACCATTGGAACTTACTTTCTTAATCATCCAACCATTATCATGGCGTACCGAATTTTTTATATGACATTTTGAGGACTCGATAGTCTAAGAGACATTCTATTATAGTCTTAAGTATTGGTGCTTCAATATACAAATTGAATCAATATTACAATGTAAAGGTACAAGTTCAATTTGTGTCATTAAGAAATTTGTACATTTATGTTATGATACAAGTGCAGTTTGTACCATAATCTAAAGGTACATATTCAGTTTGTACCTTTATGTTATGGTATAAGTTTAGTTTTTACCATAACGTATAAGTACAAATTTTATTTGTATCATAATTTTTGTTTTTTACTAGAGATGACTAGTTAGGCAGTTATGCAGAAGATAAATACTAGAGATGACCAGTTATGCAGGAAATAAATTTTGGAGATGACTAGTTGAACTGGAGATGATAAATTTTAGTGCTAATACCACTAGGAAACCCGAACTGTTTTGTGTCCTAAGTATCTAATATGACATTTGTGTCCCAACCTATTATAGTTTTGTGTCATTTATGTCACAACCCTATTATAGTTTTGTGTAATTTATGTCCTATCCCGAACTATTAAGAATGTGCCATTTGTTAAATACTAACGGTCAACGCCGGTCAACTCTAACTAAAAAGTAGTTTAGGACACAAATTTCATGTTGGATACTTTATGACACAAATGACACATTCTTAATAGTTCGGGTTTCCTAGTGGTATTATCCCTAAATTTTAAAGAAGATAGATACTAGAGATTACTAGTTTTAAGTAATTAAATGTGGAAAGTAGACATAAGTTGAAGATGATTAAAAAAAAAGTAAAATTGATAGTTCGATAGACTTCTTGCATATAAATTTTTTAGAGAAGATGACGGAAAGAAGATTTGCAAGAGAGAAATTCCCACTCAAAACAGTTCTACTTCGACAAGTTGATTAGTTTGTTTAATAGTAAAGTAGTGATTGGAAATTTGAAACTCACTACCAAGGATATCACTATAGGAATATTTTTTTTCTCAAACGGTTAAGTCATAAAATGAAATTATTTTGTGAGGTGAATTTTTTATTTAATCAATTTCGAGGTTAAATAGTGAATAGTGAATCTTATTGAATGTTGAGAAAATGTGTATAAATGTGTTTGTTTTTACTAGAATTTAAAGTTGGAAATTTGTTTTGAGAAAAGAGGAAACAAACACGTAGAAAAAGAGTGTTTTCATCTTGTTAGGAAAAACAGAAAAAACTTTTGATATTTTATTTTATTTTTCCTGATCAGAAAAATGGACGGTTCATCCAATCGCCTTGTTTTCATGGCCGAAAATGACAACATCTCACGTCAATGTCAAAACTGCTCCCGTTTCCCGGTAGCCTTAATAATCAAAGGCTTAAGTAGCTTTCTCAAGAAACCCAAAAAACTAAGCACAAATTAGTCCCCTTTCTTAACTTACCCAACACTCTACTGCTCCCTTCAAATCCTTGGTTAACTGCAGAACCAAATTTTAGTTTTCGTCCCCATTCAACAAAATTGAATTTTGGACAATCGTAGTAATGAATTTCAAAGCAACAACAGAAAATATTGTATAACTAAAACGAAAAATAAAAAAATAAAAAAAAAACTATGAAGTTACGTGTTCACACAGATTTGCAATACCTTGTGGTTTAATCAATTGTTACTATTGAAATTCGTAAAGATTCCAACACAAAAATCTACAATCATATCAAGAATTAATTGTTTCTAATTATTCGAATTATGAAAAAAAAAATTAATAAAAATAAATCTTATATCTTTCCATCACCGTTCTAAGTTCTAATCTGCACCATTCCTTTAATTTTCATCCATTCTCTTACTCTAATTTCCCCGTCTTTATACCGTGTGGGTTGTACGATCCGAAAAGCCTTTTTACCATAATCTAAATTGATTGTCAATTTTTCAGCAACATAACACGATTGAAACACAATTTCAGTATAAAATATTCTACCACTAACTTTTTCCTATACACCCAGTTTTACCGTCCTTACTAATTACCCTCTATCGATGGTAGATCAAACTGGAGTTATTGGACCATGACCACTCTATTAACCTGCCTTTTTATTTTCCTTTTTTTATAAAATATATATATATAAAACCCAACCAATTGGTAATTGGCATTTGGCAAAGAGGAGAAGGAAGTTGAAAACGAGAGAGACAGAGAGAGAAGACGAAAGCGGGTAGTGGTGACGTGGGCGTTAAAGGACCCCGTGGCCGCAAGCAACGGCCAAGATTCGTTCTCATGTCCCCTTTTCCCCACTCCCCTTTATTTTATTTTATTAATTAATTAATCATTTCCCTTTATTTCTTTTAGCCTTTTTTCCTTTTTTTCTTTTCTTATGCTTTTGCTTCTCCCTCCATACATCCAGCTGCCATCACCACTTTTTATTATCATTCTCCTCTCCACAGCTCCCACACTCCTCCCTCTTTCTCCCTTCCTCCTCCTCCTCCTCCTCCTCCCAACTTCTCCACAACTATATAACAAAAGAGAAGGAAAAGCTCCCCAAAAAAAAAAAAAAAAAGATGATGCAGCTGGGAAAGCGGCCACGGCCAGCCATGGCGATGAGGAGAACCACCAGCATGACCGGCATCACCGTCGACGTCCTCGACCCTCCGCCGCTGTCAGATTCACTGACGAACGGGGGCTCTCATGACATCAATAATAAAACGGTTGACCAGACGGTGGACAACCATTACTTGGCGAGCATGGTGTCGCCAAGGAATAGTTTGATGAACCATCATAACAATCCCCACCACCACTTGAGAAGCGTGTCGTTGGAGTCCACAGCTCATTTCTTGAGGACATGTGGTCTCTGCCAGCGCCGCCTCGCTCCCTCCAACGATATTTACATGTACAGGTAGGTAACTTTTTTTCTTCTTTCTTTCTTCATCTTAGAGGTTTCAGGTTCGAATCTTTTACGTGTCATAAACGGGATTTGGTCTAATCTTTTCGTTTTTTTTTTGGTGCAGGGGGGATACAGGATTTTGTAGTCTAGAGTGTAGAGAGGAGCAGATGAAGAAGGATGCGAGGAAGGAGAAGTATCAACAGCGGAGTAAACTATCCGCGGTTACTAATTCCTCCGGTATGATGAACAGAGACGATATTATTACGATTGGAGGCGGTCATCATCCCACTTCGTCGCCAGTTCCCACTTCTACATCTTAGCTAGCAAGCTTTCAATCTCATCATCTACCCCCCGATCGGTCGAGTTTATAACATAAAAACCTTTACTTGATCGATCGTTCCTGTTTCGAGGACTGAATCAATCAAATCGTTAGAGAGTGAGCGAGAACGAGATTGCGAGCTCAAAGAACTGAAAAAAAGAAGAAGAAAAAAAAAGAGAAAGTTATGCATGGTGTGAAGGAAGAAAGCTAAACTCCTCAATTCAATGGTAAACCAATCATGTGATGCCCTGTTCTGTATTTTGCTTTTCTCTCGAAATTTTTCTCATAGGGTTTTGCGATAAGGGGACGAATTTAACCATGTGAGAAGATCATATGGTGGTGGTGTTTTGTGGTGGGAAAAAAAGGGGTAAGGAAGAGTTGATTAATGGTGTACTAAATATGTATGGCAAGAGGGTTTGTGCAGATCTTGTAACTTTGTAAGTTTATGCAGCTAAGGGTGTGATGGTTTCTCAGCCTTTGAGGCCAAGTTGTAAATCATCGTCATGTATTTTGTAATGAATGGATGGAGATTGGCAAAAAAGTGATGAGAAATTTGGATATCTTTCTGGAGTTCATAATACTATATGATGAATATATATTTGCCTCTTTATTTTTCTTCACATACTTTTGGTATGTATCATCCTCCTTTTTTTCACCACTTGATGTTAGGGTATCTTTCTTCCTTTTCTTTTTCGATATTTGTTTCCAGATGACCTAGGAATATAATTTACGGTCGATGTTTTGTTAACATCTTCGGTAGCTTCCTTCAATTCCTCTATGGTTCCGATCATTGATGAACAAGTTAGCAAATTGAAACTATTACGTCAATTCTACAATTGATTATTCTCAAGTCAGAACACAAACGTAATGAGATATTCAGAAAGTAATTTTTTCCCTTTTCATAAATATGTATGAAAATGATCGAGCTAAGAGGGAAAACTCAAGTAAAAAGAGAAGACCCATCTTGATTTAACTATATTACTAGTGACATATGAGATAGAACAAATGACATTATAATTTGATAAGTTCCACATATCAATTCGTATTTAATATGTCAAGAACAAGTGTTTATATAGTTATTATTTCCCTTCCAGTTCATCATGCCACCTCGTGGCTTTGTTTTTGTTAGCATATTAGGGGGAAATCCAGTGGCTTGGATCTGGTGTCCCTTAGCTTCAGGGACTTTGTCTGTAAGCACTCAGCTACCTTCACAGTACAGTTTGAAGAAGCAGCTGTGAGTCAGTGAGTCAGGGGAATCTTTCGCCATAATTTTCTAGCAGCTCACATCGTCACATTGCACTTATACATAAACATATCAATGGTGATCTTCAAGTTAATTGAGAATCTCAAGCATGTACTCCTTTCTCTTTTGACGTGTTCATTTAGTGTAAGATACTGAGATCTCAATGCTGTCTACTATAGTTAATTAGGAAATTATATAAGATTTATGGTTTTCTTTTTTTGCTAAAAGGTTGCTTCTATCATCGAGAAAAATAACCCGATGTAGAAGGATTATATGGCCTGAAAATATTCAAAAATAAAAATTGGACACAACAAAAGAGCTTTTCGTGACACCCATTGGGTAGCACGATCACTGTTTCGTCCTATAAAATATGCAAACTCGACATGAAGAGATAAAATTTCGGTGAGCCCCCCAACCCCCCCTCCCCCTAATCTCCCTCTTGTCTAGCACAATTTTTGCATTAGTAGTAGTATATATCACAAACCATCATATCACATCACGAAGAGCCAACAATTCAAAATAGCAAAGGGTTGAAAAAAATCTCATACAACTTTGTCGCTGCAGCTACCACTGCGCCAAACATATCCTACTAAAGGCAACCCCTAAACCAATGAGACCCGCACAACATCCCATTGATGTTAATTGTAGTGTTGCTACCAAATTTACCTAGCTCTAAGGCCAGGATCGTATTCCCTCTGGCCTCACGTAGAACCCTTACATCAGAAGCGAGGTACGGTTCTATTGAAGAAGAGGTCGATTTAGGAAGTTGAGGTGCCTCTGGTTTTGCAGAACATAGGAGTTCGAAAAGTTAAGAGGTGCAGAAAAGTAAATTTAAGCTTCTGGAGAAGTGAGAGAGCAGAGAAGGAAATCGTTGTATAGGCAATTTTCCCCCTAGGTCTCCTAACCATGCGTCCTCGATGATTAGAGTATACGAGCTGCCGATTTCTTATTTCGTTAGATCCCACCTTGTGTCGTAGCATTTACCCGAACTAATGGGCGACAAGGACCCTTCGGATTTCTCCCTTGATGAGGTGTCACGCTGTTTGATCGAATGAGGTTCGATCTAGCAGGACTGTTATTTCTAGACCCCCAACTACAGAACAAGGAAAACTCTAACACACGGATTACGGTTTAGATAATATAACCTAATTTTACTGACAAGGAAAACTCTAACACACGGATTTCTTTCACTCAAAAACTCTCGCTAAACGAGTGATTTTCAATTGCACGAGCACCGTGAAAAGGTAAAATACCCTTCACTTAATTAGTCAAATCAATGCAAAAACACAATGTTTTCTCCCCCATTCTCTATATATATTCATTTCACATGCTTTGCAAATATAACATCACCAACGACACAAGTACTATTATTTGGAATCTAGAGTATGAAAATCCAAGAACCTAGGGAGGGTACACACTACCGACTACACACACAACACAATGTTTAGGGCAAACTGAGGGAGGTGAATTGCCGAGTACTCTCTACTTACTATTGTCTATGAATTAAATAAATGACACTGGCTAGCTAGCTGCCTGGGGCAAAGGAAAGGGATGTATGGGTTTGGAAGGATTTGTTGGGTCGAGGAGGTGATTGATGAGACTGATTGGTTGGTTGGCCAAATTGGGTAGGGAGGCATTTTAGTGTGCTTTATAGTATTGGTGCTATAAAACGTTTATAGCCATTAGATTATCTTCAAAATATATCAGCCATTAGATCTTATTTAGATTATTAATATATTGTTTTATTTGTTTATGGTCAACCGGTACAACCGGTTGTACGTGAAAAAAGTTGGAAACCCATTCTCTTATCCTTCTCCTCTCCGAGCAGATCTGAGACCCTCTTCTCACCGCCGACATCCATTCTTGCTGTCACCGGAAATGCAGTTACCGACTCCAACTCCAAAGGCAGCGAATCTCTTCCTTTGATCTCGCATCGTCTCTCTACTCTTTGACCATCCCGTACAAAAAATCGGAGCGTTTTTTTTATTATGATCGGAGCCCTATGCCTACGGCGACGAGGTTCTTACCTCGAGCAGCTACTCCCGTCCTAGCCCCGATCTGGTCCCGCTTACGGATTTCAGGCCGGCGGGGGCATGCCTGCCGGTGATTCTGAGTACGGATCCAGATATGGTGGGAGGACTGAGATCGGTGGCGGAGGCGGATATGGCAGGAGGATTGAGATCGAGTACGGATTTGGCAGCCCCAACAGCTCCGCCGCCTCTTCCCCCTTTGTAACCACTCCTGCCACCGTTTCCCCAAGTTAATTCAACGTTCAGAATATGGAGAGGCCGCGGCAACGGCGGCCGTCGAAGATGTCGATGTGGAGAAGCTCGGAATTGCTCTCTCTCATAGCTCTGTGCTCGTATCCGTCTTCTGCAAACCGCGGGATGTTGGGATTCGGGATCAAGAAGAGGAAGAAAAAGGAGGAGATGGTCTGATGGGTTTGGGAGATGTATTCCTGAAATGGTTCGTGAGTTTACTACTTTCATGATTATGGTGCATTTAGCTTCATATCTTCTTAGCTGATAATGTGGCTTTAGGTGAAACTATTGGAAGGCTGTTCTGCTACCCTGTCCCTTAACCTTGACAAAAGGCCGCTTCGGCAGGTTTGATGTATTTTGGAGGCATGGTGCACAAGCTTCCGGATTCCATGCTTTTGTTGGCTTCGTGTTACTGCTTTTATCTTCACAGGTTCCTTTTTCCACCCTGTTTCAGTCTCTAGCTTCTGCTTTTGCTCAACAATAAAGAATAAGCAGTGGCTCACTGTTTCTATGGTGTATTACACTTGGCATTCTCTACATGCAGTAATAGCTTTGTTGTATACATTTGGTATCTAGCAGATCAACTCATTTCAACAGCTAGTGAGAATAAATTCGTGGTACATTGTTCCCCTTACTGCAACTTGGTTCTTGTGTGTTCTAATTTGAAACTTACATCATCTCACTCTGCATTTTGCCCCTTGTTACTTGGACTTACAGACCGAAGAGTTGGAGCTTTCGGAAGACAAACAAGAGCTCGCTCTGAAGGACACACTTTGGTGAGGATGGTGAGAATGAGGGTTTTTCATGGTTGCTGCCTTTGTGGGTGTCCACTTTTCTGCTTGAACCCACTTTGTGAAAAGTAGAACCAATCGATCTCAGGTAGAAAAGTAAAGGCAAAAGTTCATTTCTTTTGATGAGCATCTCTATGTGCATTCGTCCACTCTGATTCCTGCAATGGGTGGTAAGATATGGGTAGAAGTAAGTCTCATCTCTGCTCGAGGCGTTAGGCGTTCTTATTCCCTCTGGAAGAGGCAGTTGTTTCCTGCTGTTTGGATTGTTCCCGATAACAAGTGCTGCACGCCTGCACCAACATCGCAAAAGATGGCTCTGGAAATGCAAACCCCACATGGAAGACCAAGTTTGCTGCTTTGCTGGATGATACGATTTCCAGGACATGGCGCTAACTGTTGAAGTCTATAGTCAAGAGCTCATTTTCCTCAGGGAAAGCCTTTGAAGGGACCGCGACCATCCTCTTTGAAGAATCTCTGGCAAAGTACAGCAACAAGAAGGCCTCCTCCTCATCTGGGTCTGAAGAAGTCGGGAGCTACCAGCTGTGCAAACGGAACTCTAACAAACCCCAGATTTTGTTGATGTTTCGATCCGGATCACCGAGGAAAGAGAAGAACCTAGTTCACACCTGGTTACAGGTACTCGTGGAATTGTCTTGTTGCATGCAATGTAGTAAAAATCCCAAGTCAACTCCTATGCTTGCTAGTACATCAATGAACTTGGTAGAATTTACGCTGTATATGCTTCTACCTCTATTTCATGATTGCATATTTGGACAGGTTACGCTTATCGATATTGCATATGGATATCACGATCTTGTTATGGTACTATTTGGCAAAATTTGCAGGGTGTCTTGGAACTTTTATGCGATTGGTAAGATTAAAATCTTTAGATTCTTGGATTCCAGCTTACAACTCAAATTTTACATAGGTTTTTGATTTCGTGTATGTAGACTTTATAGTTTGACTATCTGGGATGTTAATGAATGAACGCTGAATGTTCAAGAGTTGTGATTTCGTGTATGTGAACGTTATGAGATGCGTCAGGAGACAGTGCGTATGGCTCTGGAGGTTACCGGAGACAAGATAGCTCCGAGAAACCTGCTTATGGGATGCGCCACAATGATGATTACGATCACGATGACAAGGAGGAGTCTCGCAGCCAGTATGGCTATGATAGTGGTGAAGAAGGCTATGGCCGCAAGAAATATGTAAGCTTTTCACACACCCTTTTTCCTTTGACTGCTTGAATATCTATGTGGCTTCAATATTGGCATATTGCTAAGTAGTTCATCCATTTCTGGTTTACTTTCCAATATGGAAGTTTCATTTTTGTTCGTTGCTGCAGTGACTGATTTTCTACCACAAGGTGGAAGCTTTTTATGATAACTATATCTTTGGTATTGGGAAACAAGCTGAAATTTGGTTGTATAATTGGACCTGATAATTGGTGCTTGAAGAGTTATAAGTGTAGAGGTTATTGAATTTTGAAATGAGTGATTAGTTTGTGTAAGTTACTCTCTGTTGCTCCTTTTATTGAACCTCCTAGTTTTAGTTATGTTTGGCCTCGCTCTGTTTGTTGATTATTGGATGGTTTTCTTCTCTTTTTCCATTCTCTTGAGGTTTCTCTTTCTACATTTCACTGATGGAATTGGTGCACATTCTTTTCTTACAGGGTCATTTCAAAGAGCTCTTATTAGAGCATGCACCACCTCCTCCCGCCCTTGCTGAATTCGCCATTGCGAACTTGATCAAGATGGGTATTCCACAAAGAGCAGCAGAAGGTTCTATAGCAATTTGCTCCTGCCACAGAGAAGCTAAAGTAGGTGAATGGTATATATGGCCAAGATGGGGTAGATGCTTATCTCATCACCCCATCTAGCTAGATCTTATCAAAATCTTTTCCCAATCGAGCCATTCATCGAGGTATCTGCACGCCAATTGGAATTAAGCAGAGTAGCTTCAAAAACTTGCTTCAGTTGTCGAGAGAGCCTTCTCACTCCTGGTAGGTTATGCTAATACAAATGTTCTATTTGCAATGTTATCTGCTGGAAATCAATATACGTGGATAGTTTTTGGCAGCAGACTCGGGTAGTGAGTTACTTTAGCAAGAAACTAGCAGTATAGATCATGCACGACTGAAGTTGGTTATATGTAAGATTTACGAGCTATTTCTCTGGTGCTACCACTTGGGGGCTATAAAATCTGCTGCTGGCACTATACTTACTTTTGATTTGTAATGTCTTGACTGTTTCTTGGTTTTCTGAAATAGTTTTGTGAACATAACAGTGGAATCTTCTATGAACTGCATTGTGTTTCATTCGATACTTCTTGTATTTCATATGTCAGTAGATTCTGAAAGTTTCACGGCTGGGAACCTCACGGTCGTTAGAGCAACCGTGAAAGAAGAAATTGTCCCCCAGCACTCCTCCTGGAGTTCTCATGCCCTGTGTTGGATATTCTCACAGCCGTGAGATTAGTCCGGGAAAATATTAAATTGATCCCTTGTCTCCAGAAGTTCTCACATTGATCCCTTGTCTCCAGAAGTTCTCACGGCCTACTTAATTGTATCACCCGCCCGTGAGATCGAACCTGTGCCATTGGCCCTCGAAATAGCAACCTTAACCACTCGGACTGCATCAATTTATTTGGGGCTTAATTGCAAGTTTGGTCACTCGAATTGCTATAAAATTTCATGTTTGCCACTCAAATTAATTTATTCCATTTATAGTCACTCGAATTAGTTGAACAGTTCAAGTTCGGTCACTCTCCCTTAACCTCCGTTAACTTTGACTGACGTGGCGGTCAACTCTGACAGTTGACCGTTAAATGTGTGACGTGGCAAATAAAAAATAATTAAAAAATAAAAATTAAATTTTTAGAAATTACACACATTAAATGGGTTTTTGGTTTAACCCATCTAATTGTCAACCAATGTGAGATTGGGTTTAGGGTATATGGTTGAGTGACCGTTTGATTACGATTTTGGGTTTAACCATTCTAATTGTCAACGGATGTGAGATTGAATTTAGGGTATATGGTTGAGTGACTGTTTGATTATGGTTTTGGGTTTAACCCATCTAATTGTCAACCGATGTGAGATTGAGTTTAGGGTATATGATTGGCTAACCATTTGATTACGGTTTTGGGTTTAACCCATCTACTTGTTAACCGATGTGGGGTTGGTTTACAATATATGATTGAGTGAGCTTTTGGATTACGGTTTTGTGAACACATCTAATTGTCAACCAATGTGAGATTGGGTTTACGGTATATGATTGAGTGAGCTTTTGATTACGGTTTTGGGTTTAACCCATCTAATTATCAACCAATGTGAGATTGGGTTTAGGGTATATGGTTGAGTGACTGTTTGATTACGGTTTTGGGTTTAACCCATCTAATTTTCAACCGATGTGAGATTTAGTTTAGGGTATATGGTTGAGTGACCGTTTGATTACGGTTTTGGATTTTAACCCATCTAATTGTCATCCGATGTGAGATTGAGTTTAGGGTATATGGTTGAGTGACCGTTTGATTACGGTTTTGGGTTTAACCGTTCTAATTGTAAACCGATGTGGGGTTAGTTTACGGTATATGATTGACTGAGCTTTTGATTATAGTTTGGGTTGAATCCATCTAATTGTCAACCAATGTGAGATTGGGTTTACGGTATATGATTGAGTGAGCTTTTGATTACGGTTTTGGGTTTAACCCATCTAATTATCAACCAATGTGAGATTGGGTTTAGGGTATATGGTTGAGTGACTGTTTGATTACGGTTTTGGGTTTAACCCATCTAATTTTCAACCGATGTGAGATTTAGTTTAGGGTATATGGTTGAGTGACCGTTTGATTACGGTTTTGGATTTTAACCCATCTAATTGTCATCCGATGTGAGATTGAGTTTAGGGTATATGGTTGAGTGACCGTTTGATTACGGTTTTGGGTTTAACCGTTCTAATTGTAAACCGATGTGGGGTTAGTTTACGGTATATGATTGACTGAGCTTTTGATTATAGTTTGGGTTGAATCCATCTAATTGTCAACCAATGTGAGATTGGGTTTAGGTTATATGGTTGAGCAACCGTCTGATTACGATTTTGGGTTTAACCCATCTACTTGTTAACCGATGTGGGATTGGTTTACGGTATATGATTGAGTGAGCTTTTGATTACAGTGTGGGTTGAGCTCATCTAATTGTCAACTAATGTGAGATTGAGTTTAGGGTATATGGCTGAGTGATCGTCTGATTACGGTTTTGGGTTTAACCGTTCTAATTTTGGGTTGGATACATCGATCGTAAATTCCCATAAAATTCGTACCTCGGCGAGCTACCCAGCCACAACATTCCCTTCGTCGCCACCCCATCACCGAGATCTGGGGGTTCTCGATCCAAGTCTCAAGCGCTTCAATCAGCTACTCCTCCGCCTGCCCAGCCACCACTCGGTTCACCTCCGCCGCCACTTGTCCCGACCCCTTCTCAACCACAGCCATCCTCCATCCCACCCATGTCCTCCGCCGCCTCCAGAGTAGCTCAACGCAGATGCGCTAGGACCATATTAAAGCGAAAATTCGTACTGCTCGCTCAGCTATGAAAGGGTGCGTCGTTTGGAAACTGGCGCCCCCTCCCTTCCTAACCCGTGCTGCTGCTACGTCATTCTCTCCCCCCTCGCCTGGTGGCTAGTTGTTTTGTGAAGAACGGCGTAGTTGAGGTGCGTGGAATGCTCTTCTGCACTCATTCATTGAATTGATGTTCTTGTTTTGTCGAGCTTTTTTTTGGGTATATAGTGATCGTTGTTGGTGATCTTCAATTTTTCTGTTGTTCTTTGATTTCAGTTCAGCTCGATCCGCTCCATCTAGAAGCAAGGACGGAGTTCGCGTACCGCGGCGGCGGCGGCGAAAGAGGGTATAATTTTGGCGCCTGCTCTGTTGTGTGACTCGTAAGGGACGGATTGGCGTTGAGATTTGGTCGTATATTTTGGGTTTCCTTCCGATTTCAGAGCTCTAGAAGGGTTGGTGTTTCTTGAGTAGCTCTGCTTCGAGGGCATCCATAACTTGGATTTATACATGGCTTTCTCGTTGTAGCCTTGTTTCGTGTCTGTTCTTCTCTCTTCTCGCCAAGCGTAAGCTAGCATTCTCCTGTTTATGTATGTTCTCCTATTGATTGTTGAATGCTAAGTTGTTACCCTTTACTGCTATTGTGCTAAGTTGTACCTTCAACTATTGTTGGTAGATGATCCTATGCTTAGATAGTCCTCCATGGCTGTTCAGGGCAGAGACCAACCAAAGCCAGTCTTCCATGTCTACTATAGCTTCTGTAGGCTTGCATCAGATTGTTGATTTCTAGGTCGATACAATTTGTTGACATGTAGGTAGATTGCATTAAGCATATTCTTCGCCTCAGGACTATTTATAGCGACCATTCTTACATTATTTCCAGAAGCCCAACCCCAAAACCAAAACGAAAATAGTCACTTAGCTTGTTGATTTTCGAAAGACTCAAAATGATAAGGAAGCCAGCGACCCTCTTCTCTGCTTCTCTTGCGCTTTTGACGTTCCAATGTTTTAGGGTTCTCTGTGTCGCCCAGGACTTCGATTTCTTCTACTTTGTCCAACAGGTATGTGCGGTTTACATATATATAGCCAGCCGAACTATTTCTTCTAGTTCCATCCATAACGTGGTCTCTTCTCTTCTCTTCTCTTCTCTTCTGTGTGTGTGTGCAGTGGCCCGGAGCCTATTGTGACTCGAGGCAGAGATGCTGCTACCCAAAGACAGGCAAACCCACAGCCGATTTCGGGATCCATGGTCTCTGGCCTAACTACAAGAACGGCGCCTACCCTTCCAACTGCGACCGTGACAGCGTCTTCCACGAATCACAGGTTGGTTGGAATTAATTACCGCTGTGTCAGGATTTGGAAAACCTTGCAGGGAATGTTTCAGGATTTGCCCGTCAGGTTATTCGACAATTGATCTATTGCTGCCATTTCTATATCGGTGTCTTATAAGCATTTGCCGCAAATTTTAGGTATGTCATTTCCTTTTTAAAAGAGCATGGCAAGGAAGTATACACTGAAGTTCGCACTGCGTACATTGACACAATGAACAAGGTGGTCTAATCTGTCTTGTATATTTTATAGGATCATGGTACCTGTACCAGTATAATTGCAGGCGAGGAAGCAGGGTCCTAACTTCTATTCCCGAGCTTTGAGTTTGCAGGTTCTAAGTGCATGTTTTCGTGCATACATTCAAGCGCTGGAGAAACTACAGTTCGATATAGCAACTTCGAGTGATTTAATTGGTGTGGAGACCGGAAGTATTGGCTTGTTTTCGAGAGTCAGAGAGCCGCTGAAAAATCGATCAGCTGTTTTTGGTTTGGGAGATAGGATTAATATCTTGAAGGTAAACATACTTCTCCCTAGTTTTCTCTCCTGGCCAACTCCCTCTTAAGCTACTTTATTTCTATACTGGGTTCCCTGACTTATTCCTAAAGGTTTGTGGCAATATTATAGTCTATAGATACTTCCTTTGTTGAACTCATGCATGATGCCCTCCTTCGATAGCATAAAAGCAAGTGTATGCATGGCTGAGATTAAAGAACATTATTTACATGTCAAACCTTGTGTGGATTAACATGTTAGTCAGTACTGAAGCTTCTTATATTTATTGGTGCATAATGTTGTTTGGCTTGAGACTCCTCCTTGGCCCCTTGAAACCTTTGCTATTAAAATTTGAAACCTTCCCTCACTTCAATTACTTTTACAGGACATTGAGCAGCCAACATTGATTCCACATATAGCTGAAGCCAGTTCCCAGAAGTATCCTTATGAGGTCATCTTCGGGAGCTTACACAGGCTACTACTGGATACAGCCACTTCAGAGTATGATGGAATAGCTTTCAGATACTTGTTCCTTCTAATTTTCCTTGCTGGCAGTGTATGGATTTTGATTTCTCCTCGTCGTGCAGGTATCTTTTCTGTGATAACTTCTTTGGGGAAGAGGCCATGTTTAATGAAATATTTGCTGGTAACAGAGAGATATTGGATGCCTGCATATAATTATCGATGATGCCTAAATATCCATATCATAATGCAATTGTTGATTATGTCTGTATGGATTTCTTAGGTCCCCTTACTGTGATTGATGAGCACTTCAATTCCATACTGCCAAACAGTTATGATGCAATGGGCGACGAGTTCCCTGTTTGGACTCATATCTTGACAAGGTTAGTTATCTTTATTTAAGCACCAGTTGGAAAACGAAGGCTAATTATGTCTCTTCCAATTTTCAGGATAAGTGATCACAGCCTCTAAGATCTTTTATATATCTGCACCTTGAATTGAATATGGAAAGGCTCAGAATGGCTATTGATGACTTGATTGTCAAGCTTGCTAAAACATTCACAAAAAATGAACTTAATATCGTTTGCGATTTCAGTGTGAAGGAAAGTTTATATTTTAATTCTTGTTTACTTTTCCTTAATGAATTGCAGGCAGGCCCTGAAGGTGAGAAAATTCAAATTCATTTTGAGGAACTGCTGAAGAGCAATACAGCATTGTTCGTGGTAAGGATGATTCACAGACATACAATATTTTATGCAAGTGAAATAAAGGTTAAAGTACTGCTGGATCATGGTAGAGCATCATGTATTTAAGTGGAACATTGAAACTGCTCTTTTAGGAAGAAGGTTAAACCTGGAAAAATTATGCACTCCAGAACGTCTTTGGTTGTGCCCTAACTCAATGTCGAAGTGCTTTTTTCGGCTTTAGCTTTCTTCTCACAGATCTTTCCTTGCAGGAGGAACTCCTTGTGGAGCATTTTGCGGACCTAATCAAGTTCGTCAAGACACGAGCTTGTGGGCATTTCAACCGAACAACAAAGATGAGCCAACCGAGGAAAACAATGAAGAGGACAAGTGCTTATGGATGATTGTTGAATTAGACAGATGTAATGCTTTGGCTGCTTTTACTTTTGTTTACAGGGTATCTAATATGATATATTGCTAGCTCTGGTTCCACTTAAATCATGACAGGTTGTTTCAATTTGTAAACAATCTATGCTATGAAACAATCACATTTCACGGGTGAGAGATTTGTAACTCCAAGTCCGTTAGAATGACTAGGATATAGCGAACAACGTGTACAACAAAATTTGCTTCAAGTTAATTTACATTTTTATGAATTTTATGTGATGGTCAATATTTGTTTTCAATTAATTTTTTTTCAAGGATTACTACTAATTTAAATACTATACAACTATTCTTTTTCATAAGTTTGGAGTTCTGGTAATCTCACGACCGTAAAATACTCAAGTGAGATGTAAAAAGCAGTGTTTCATTCCTCAGGCAAATATCACGACCGTGAGATATCCCGTGAGATGAAAAGAGCAGTTCTCACTATCCCAGGAAATTTCACGGCTACTACTTGACATTATCACGCCCGTCAAAATCTCACATTCAATTGAAACACACAGCTGCCACTCAAACGTTCGCACAACTCATTTTGTCAAAATAACAGCCATGGAATTAAGATGTACCTACACTTTCTAGAGTTGTACCTTTACACTAAACTTAAAGTTGTACCTACACTTTCCTAAAAATCTTCTATGGTACAATTAAAAATTGTACCTATACACTATGGTACAACTTAATGTTGTACCTACACTTTCTAACAAATCCCTCTATGGTACAACTCAAAATTGTACCTATACTAATGATACAACTTTTAGTTGTACCTACACTTTCTCAAAATCCTTCTATGGTACAACCCAAACTTGTACCTATACCATGGTACAACTTTAAGTTGTACCTACACTTTCTAAAAATCCTTCTATGGTACAACCCAAACTTGTACCTATACCATGGTACAACTTTAAGTTGTACCTACACTTTCTAACAAATCTCTTTATGGTACAACTAAAAATTGTACCTATACTAATGGTACAACCTTAAGTTGTACCTACACTTTCTCAAAATTCTTTTATGGTACAACCCAAACTTGTACCTATACCATGGTACAACTTTTAAGTTGTACCTACACTTTCTAACAAATCCCTCTATGGTACAACTCAAAATTGTACCTATACTAATGGTACAACTTTAAGTTGTACCTACACTTTCTAATAAATCTCTTTATGGTACAACTCAAAATTGTACCTATACTAATGGTACAACTTTTAGTTGTACCTACACTTTTTCAAAATCTTTCTATGGTACAACCCAAACTTGTACCTATACTATGGTACAACTTTATGTTGTACCTACACTTTCTAACAAATCCCTTTAAGGTACAACTAAAAATTGTACCTATACGAATGGTACAACCTTAAGTTGTACCTACACTTTCTAACAAATCCCTTTATGGTACAACTAAAAATTGTACCTATACTAATGGTACAACCTTAAGTTGTACCTACACTTTCTAACAAATCCCTTTATGGTACAACTAAAAATTGTACCTATACTAATGGTACAACCTTAAGTTGTACCTACACTTTTTCAAAATCCTTCTATGGTACAACCCAAACTTGTACCTATAACATGGTACAATTTTAAGTTGTACCTACACTTTCTAATAAATCCTTTTATGGTACAACTCAAAATTGTACCTATACTAATGGTACAACTTCAAGTTGTACCTACACTTTCTAATAAATCTCTTTATGGTACAACTCAAAATTGTACCTATACTAATAGTACAACTTTTAGTTGTACCTACACTTTTTCAAAATCCTTCTATGGTACAACCCAAACTTGTACCTATACCATGGTACAACTTTAAGTTGTACCTACACTTTCTAAAAATTCTTCTATGGTACAACCCAAAATTGTACCTATACCATGGTACAACTTTAAGTTGTACCTACACTTTCTAACAAATCCCTTATGGTACAACTAAAAATTGTACTTATACTAATGGTACAACCTTAAGTTGTACCTACACTTTCTCAAAATTCTTTTATGGTACAACCCAAACTTGTACCTATAATATGGTACAATTTTAAGTTGTACCTACACTTTCTAATAAATCCCTTCATGGTACAACTCAAAATTATACCTATACTAATGGTACAACTTTAAGTTGTACCTACATTTTGTGAAACAAATTCTTCAATGGTACAACTGAAACTTGTACCTATACAATATGGTACAACTCTAATTTGTACCTACACTTGTATACATTGATTCATTATTTACAAGATTGCCATTAATGATGTGGGACCAGTGATTTTGTGGGTTTACCTCCTCAACAGGTCACCTTTTTTATAGCATGGGTGCTATAGAGCACACTAGAAGGGCTCGTTGGGTAGGTGTGTATGTACAGTAGAAATCATATATTATAGTGTGTCGTTGCTTTTGAAAACTCCAAGACGCTCCCTCTCTCTCTTCTCTCCCACCAATAACCCCACATTTCTGGTCCATCCATCCCTTTTTTGGTTGGTTTCGGGACCATTTTCTTTTCGATTTTGATTCCTTCCACTTCCACCACTGCGTTTTCTTCACCTGCACCTTTCGTCCTTCATGTTTTCCCTCCTTTCATTAATTAGGATGCTCTGCTTTGGTTTGAATGGGATGGAGCCATGGGTCGTTTTGAAGTGGTACTGGAAATGAGTTTTCGTAGCGGGGAGAAGTTGGGGTTTCAAGTGCGACGCGGGAGCTCGCAGATTTGTATATGGTACCAAAGTATGGACTAGTAGTAGAATACGTTGAAAGTGTGTATTAGTAATCAAGTTCGAACGGATCTATAACGATTTATTTTTTTTTGTCATGCTTTTGTGATAATCCTATAACATTATTTATTTCGTGCAATTACTATATGCTTCGCATGTTTAGTGCAATCGTGAAGTGCTAGGCTAGCGATACATTGGGTATGCAATACTTGTGTTGTCTATATAGATTGTCATCGGCAGGAGACACGTGATGCCAAGATCCATAAGCAAGGTAATGCATAATCACTATCATCTATGATGAACAGACTCCAGATATGAATATGTGCTCGATTGTTCTTCATATATAGAAGAATTTGATACTCTATAAATATCCCTGTATGTCACAACTCCATGGCACGAATGCATCACCAAAATTTACACACACGTAAGTTAAGTAACCTCCTGAAGTAGACCGCCATCAGTATTCACACATGAAATGTAAAGGGTATGTGAATCCTATTGATCGAGAATAAGTTTTCTTATTGAAAGTAAAAAGATGTTACTATGTCCCAAACCTTGCAAAAACTTATCATTTTAAGTTCTAGGGAGTAGGGAGTATGATCGACCCAAAAGGTTTAATTAACCTCACACCTTTTGTTAATTAGTAACCACACCTGAAATGTAACAAGGATATGTGAATCCTTCGATTTGAGAGTAACTTTTTTCTATTGATGGTTAAAAGATGCCACTCTCTCTAAAACTTTGTAGAAACTTTTTCATTTAAAATTCTAGTGAGCATGCTCGATCCATATATAAGCGTTAATTAACCCCGCACCTTTAGTTCAATAATCAATTGCATCTTGTTAGTAGAAAATACCATAAGGAATCAAGAGTGGCAATCTCTGACGCATTTCACCTAGTACACTGCAACAAAACTTTTTTAAGTGAAAATAATTTGAAAAAGAAACAAAATTAAGAAAATAAAACCTTTGTATACATATGTGACATGGAAAATATTCAGCATTACGTGTAGTTTTGTAATTTGTGAATATAAAAACCGAAATGTGAAAGGAGCCCTTGAAGTCATCTGACAAATGGGAAGACTTGTTTGTTGAAGATGCTTCCATCACAGCTCCATACATCAACTTCAGCTCCAAATGATAATTATTTTCAGTTGATATACACTCATTTCACCTTCATGAGGTCAATGTCTCACTCCATTTTCTAATAAATAAATATGAATTATTCAATCCAAATTATGCCAATTTGGTAATAATAAAGCTACTAAAAACAAGCTGGGGGACCAAAAAGAATGATTGAAAAATCCAAATTTGTTTAGCTAGACTGGTTCAATAATGATACATACCTGTTTCTTTTTAAATGCCAATATTTTAATTGAGCATTTCCCTGTCAATCTCTCCCCCCAAAGTACGCAATATGAAATATTTAATCGACCCATAATATCAAATTATTCCAAAGTGACATAAAATAATCAGATGGTATCGATCTGATATTAATAGAAAATTGGCAAATCTTGAGGGAACGAAAACCTGAAGGATCTGTTTGTGAATTCTTTTTCGTTTGGGGGGTCAATGGTTCTCTTTAATTCGCTCCCTATATTAATCCACCGGCTGCCCAATAATGCACAAGCCAAAGTATTTAAAAATACAGAAATAAATTATTCTTTCATTGATAATCACACCATGGTTTGTTGTCTGATGGGTTGTTCCAGCTTTGATGTCTGCAACTTTGCATTTGAAAACTATGGTGTCCTTCAGATTCATTTGTGGAACAGCTATGGGGTGCTTAATTATATGATTACAAATACGATGCTGAGCACTATCCTAGAATGTTTGACTCTGCATCTCTATCACGAAAAATACTAGACTAGGTTGGACCCCCTGTTTGAGGGCATCCAACCGCGCCCAATTGCGCTACCAGAGTGGCGTAGCGAACCACTGACGAAGGCAAGTGAGGTGTTTACCGCTAATTCCCACGATTGGGCTAGACCCTCAAGTGACTACCCAATACGACACTATGAATCCTATTGTTTTCATATCAAAGACCCTTAGTGGAGAATTGTGGGTGCTCTATTCAACATAGGGGATATACTCCAAAACCTATATCATTAGAAGATCAATCGATTTCATTCCCTCGGAGATGATATGATCCCAAATTGCCAACCATTTACGTCACAATTACTTGACAAAGTAGCTATTGAAGTTGGGAAGAAGAAGGGCAGAATTTGGCTAAGTCAAAATTCGTG